ATACTGTAGCGACAGAAAGTCATTAAAGATAGCTTGGAGTAACCAATCTGTGGCCAAGCTTACCCTGTCACCTTGAACACCTTTAACACCCTCAACTCCTCGTTCACCCTGACTTCCAGGTAATCCAGGTTCCCCATTTTCTCCTCTAACTCCTGGTTGTCCTATATTCCCTTTCGCACCCTTGGCACCCTGAATTATCTTTGCATCACCCTTTTCTCCATCGTTACCAGGTGCTCCCTTCTTGCCGTCGTCACCTGTTGGACCCTGGAAACGAAAGGTTTTCTATTTAGATACATTAGATTTTCATATATGTCATAGTGAACAGCTGTATGCTGTTTGAAATTCTAATAGAACTCGTTCTCTGTTTTCATACAAAACACTGTCGATTCATTGTTACGTGTGTTCTGTCAAATCAATGAATGGCAACGTATTTTAAATTAACAATGAGTAATTAATACTAAACAGTGGTCTGTTGGAAAGTATAATACGCAGGTGACAACGAACCGATCATGTTTTGAATCGTGAACTACCATAGATAATTAGTTATATTTATATTCAAACATAGATTATAGAAAACAGTTCAAGCATCAATGATTGCATTATAATGAATATCTAATATTGAATATACGTATTATATATTATAATGAATATCTATTGATAATTAGTTATATTTATATTCAAACATAGACTATAGAAAACAGTTCAAGCATCAATGATTGCATTATAATGAATATCTAATATTGAATATACGTATTATATATTATAATGAATATCTATTGATAATTAGTTATATTTATATTCAAACATAGACTATAGAAAACAGTTCAAGCATCAATGATTGCATTATAATGGATATCTAATATTGAATATACGTATTATATATTATAATGAATATCTATTGATAATTAGTTATATTTATATTCAAACATAGACTATAGAAAACAGTTCAAGCATCAATGATTGTATTATAATGAATATCTAATATTGAATATACGTATTATATATTATAATGAATATCTATTGATAATTAGTTATATTTATATTCAAACATAGACTATAGAAAACAGTTCAAGCATCAATGATTGCATTATAATGGATACGCATGTAACATACTTTATTTTTGCACACAATGGCGTAATGTACGGTCCAAAGCAAATTACAAGAAATATTAAATATTTTCCCCATTCAGCCAAACTTTAAAACTTTTGATGGTTATCAGTACAACGTGTTACATTACCTGCACACCCATAGCTCCTGGACCACCAGGTGGGCCATCATCACCTTTAGCTCCTTGTGCACCCTTCGGTCCAAATTCACCCCCGGTACCAGGTTCTCCATCAGCACCAGGCGCACCTGTGTCACCTTTGTCACCGGGTTGTGGTGCGGGACATGCACCGCATTCATCACCTAAGGAGGAAAGTTTTATATTAATGAAACGCATGTGTTCTGACGTATATGTATTTCTACTTGTAGTATCATGAATATAGCATGAGAAAAACATGAAGGGAATTATGACTGTTAGGGTAGGTCCGAAATTAGCCGCAACAGAGGACAATTGCGGGCAAAATGAGCAACAGTAATGTACATGCGCGCAAAGGGGAAAATGAGCAACAGCAAAATCAGGAGGTAACCCTGGCAACCAAGCTACGGTAACCCACGGCATCTGTTACACTCAGTGGAAAGTTGCAAATATTATACCTGCCAAAAAAATATTTAAGAGCTGTGGAGAGGTGGGTGGTGAAAAGTGGTGTTTGTTTAAGGATGGGCATCTCATAAACACCTCGTAAACCGGTAAACGTAAACCATGCAAACTGATAACCTAAACAGAATCGCTGCAAACTGATAACCCAAACACAATCGCTGCAAAATGACACCGCATTGTAGAAACATTTCTCCCCCTTTCGAATCTAATGAAAATGCTGTTGTTCGAGGTTATTAGCATTATTTAACATCAGATTCGGCAAATAAAATTTCGAGTGCTGAAACAGGCCAGAGGCACCCAGACATTCTTGTGACTAGCCGGTCAGCGGCTATACGTTTTTTGTCAGGATTTTACATGGATTCAAAATATTCGTGCAAGATGAAGATCTTGCACACAATCATACGAAAAAGGAGTCAACGTGCTTGGTCTGATCTTACAGCAGGCGCTATTTACGGCTGATTACATGTACGCAATGAGTACCGACTGTTTAGTAAAAATAAAGTTTCACTTGTTATAAAAATCTCAAATCATAACCCGTGTCATTATTATTATAGTTTTACCTTTTTCACCGCGGTCACCAGGTCCACCCTCTTGACCTGGAACACCATTGTCTCCCTTTCGTCCTTGTGGTCCTGGTTCA